AGAGAGAGAGAGAGAGAGAGAGAGAGAGAGAGAGATCACATATATGACACTGCGTAATTCTATACATTGGTTCTCTCCTTCCATTATGCGAGTTCTGAGGCTCAAACTCAGGTCATCAGGCTTGGTGACAAGCACTTTTACTCAGTGAGACATCTTACTGGCCCCTTTGACTGAATTACTTTTTCTTTTCTTATCTCAATAAGTCAGTTCGGTGTACTTTAACATTTTAGAAAAGTCTTTAGTAACTAAGGCTAGGTCAGGGGTGGTAGCTTATGCCTAATGTCTCAGCACTCCCAGGATGAGGCAGGAAGATTACAAGTTTGAGCCCAGTCTAGATTACATAGCAACACTCTGTCTCAAGAACAACAAAAGGCCAGTGACAAAGGGTGTCTGTTGCTGCTGCTACTGCTACTGCTGCTGTTTGGGGACAAGGTTTCATATCATTCCAGGATGGCTTTGAACTCCCTTTGTAGCTGAGAATGACCCTGAATTCTGTCTTTCTGTCTCCACCTCCCAAGTGCTAGAATTACAGGTTTCCACCATCATATCTAGTTTTGCAAAGGTATTTTAACTTGATCAAATAGACTCACAGGAAAAATCAATGCTTTCTTTCCTTCACATGTGATTTACCCTAGCTGTATTTCCTAAAGTGAGTTATATAAATCCCACAATTCAAAGAATTGATAATAGAGTCTGAGGTGAGATATGTTGCAGAAATGTTTGTAAAAAAAAATTGAAAGTTCTCTTAACTGTGGGAAGTTTCAGAGTCCTTCCACTGTGACTCTCCATGTGTTGTCTCTAAATGTTCTTCCTCCCTCTTATCTTTCAAATGATCTCTCCAGGGAACATGTTGGAGTGAAGCATGTTGGCTCATTCCATCGCCCACTGCAGCACTCTTCACCTCCACCAGACGATAACCCATCTCTCCTCCCATAGGTCAGAGCAAAATCTTGGATGAGAAAAGTGAAAGGATAAAGGCCCAGAATGGCTTGCTCAAGAATTAGCACTCTGTTGTTAAGCCAAGCCAAGTGCCGAACAGTAACTTAGCACCTTGCTGATGCTGCTTCACTAGGAACTTTGCCTTCTTCTCCAGCATGGCTCTGGAGACAGGACTCATATCAACCTAGGTTCATTAGAAAGAGCAATTCTGGCCAGGCGGTGGTGGTGCAAGCATTTAATTCCAGCACTTGGGAGGTAGAGGCAGGCGGATCTCTGTGAGTTCGAGGCCAGCCTGGTCTACAAAGCCAGTTCCAGGACAGGCACCAAAGCTACACAGAAAAACCCTATCTCGGAAAAAAAAAGAAAGGAAGGATGGAAGGAAGGAAGGAAGGAAGGAAGGAAGGAAGGAAGGAAGGAAGGAAGG